TACAGAATCTCGCGAGCTGGAGATAAAGTATTTGTTTTTATACTCGTATATAACGTTGCCATTTCTCGCTTTTAAATCCATTGAGTTTGTTAATTAAAAATTCGTTAAAGTTTTACAAAATATAAAATCTATAATAAAACAAATTCCAAATTTGGGATTTCAGATGCCCATATTCGCAGTAGGATTTCGTCATTCAAAATTCGATGGCTCTATGTACCATTGTTTTATCACAATGCGAGAAATAGACAATCATTTATGCAGATTTTTCATTATTTAATTTCTTCAAATATAATGCAGGACTCTAACATTTTGTGGCAACAGTTTGAAAAGTGAACCGACGTTTATAGGAGTCCGACGCAAAATCGCAAAACGAAAACAATAGTCCTTCAGGGTCCCTTTGGACTAAAAATTAACTGCAATTAATTTTAACAATAAAGAAAAATAAGCTATAAGATATACATACACAAAAAGTATATACCCAATTATTGTAAATAAACTGGAATGAGACTAAAAAGCGACAGCAAAATAATTCGTGCAGGTGCCCTAAGTAAAGATGACTCAAGATATTGATAAAATTCCCGCCTGAAAACTACTCACAAAAATTTCAAGATGCCCATATTAGGATTTTCATAGCAGAAAACACACCTCACCCCTCAAGACTGCTTTGTTTAAATTCATTCTCCCAAAACAACGTAAATAGAAAACATATACAACACACGTTTTCTCCTAAGACAGATGTTTGATGCGTAATAGCATGAGATCGCCAAAGGCGCAGTGTTCCCGCTAATGGAACACCCCATTTTTTTTCAAGGATTCCGCTCATACTTTTTGTATGAAATATGTAAGAAACCTATAACAAATAATATAGAGTGCAACCATCAAAATTATACGGAATTTTTGTTTTCAAACAAATGTTTTGTCATCACAAAAATATATGGAAGATTACTAGAAAACAAGTAGATTTTAAGAACACAACATAAATGAACATTCTGGGTCTCCTTGTGATATGCTGCTATCGACTATTTAAAAAGAGAAGTTTGAAGTATATTATAAAGGCATTTGTATCCATTTACAGTTGAATTTAACGGTTTGAGAAGCGATTCAGTTTGGATGTTCCATGTAGTGGAACACTCAGCAACAAAGTGTTAAGACTGATTTTTTCTTTGTTAATTTTCAGCGAGCCCACTAAAATCATGTATGTTTTTTCTTTTTGATAATAATTGTTTTGCAGCTTATCACACGCGTGAATATCTCCTCTAGAACCTGGAAAAAGAACTTTCGAGTACTGTTCTAAGTTTACGGAAACATCGAACATATAAATGAAGAAACGAATTAAATGGAGTCCTAAGCTTGCTCGAGGGGCAGAAATGTAGCACTTAAACATTACGAAAGGTTGAATAAGATAAATGAGAGACAACATGTATCAAGTCTGCCAGAAACGTTCTAACTCTCTGTCCTTTCCACGAAAGCTTAACACAATCCGTTAGCTATTAAAGCCTCCCGAGATCTCAGAAATCGCAAGTAATGGGTATATGAGTCGAAGAAAGAGAAGCTTTCTGATTCCACCCGCAGGTGAAAACCCATTAGCCTTCGAAAAGGCATCAGAAACAAAGAGTCCAAAAAGACAAAAAAAAAATGGCGTGCGGAAACTTGACCCAGATGGCTGCGAGCTTTACCAATTGCGTGCTACAGCAAACAGACAACAAAAATAAAGGCAATACAACACTCAGTCGGTCGAATGCTCGATAAAAAGTATTCCTCCTTTTGAGACGCTTTTGGTTCGCAGGAAAAGCATTACCAGATTGCAGGCCGCTATTATTAGTGAGATAACTCGTTCCTGCCCGAGGATATATTTGGAGCAATATAGCGTAAGAAAGAGGTAGAACAACAGCACAACATAAAAGAAAAATCCTTCGTAGCAAATCGTAAAACTTTTGAAGGACCATTTCAAGAAAATGGTTCAATAATAAAAATAAATAAGTAAAAAGATCTGGACATGGAGTAATTCGTGGGCACTTTTACGAAAAATTTATAAAAAAATCTGATGTGCACACCACATGACTTCCTAGTACGGAATATTAAATTATACGCATTTTTTCTTGCCTTTCATTTAACTTAGTAGACTCAATTAAACCTACTTTCGCCGACAGCGCATAAACCACAATAGAATAAATGCATTCTTTAAAATTCACTTTGTTTACAATAGCGACACTCTGGCGATAGGTTCACTTAGCATTATATTTCGTTCATATTATACCTCAGAATGCACAAAATTTATATCATTTAAAGAATTATCTAATCGTTGCTACATGTTCTATTCAAATACTGTAATAAAGCTAGAACGATGCATAAAAAAAATTAAGCAAACAAAACAAAAAGTAAACAGTTTTTCACGGACGATTGAGTATTTCTCATTCAATTAATTCAGTTTTCACTTCGCGACAAGGCAAAAATTCATAAAAACTCAAAATATCTGTATTAAAAATTACGAAGTAAATCTTAAACGCTTATTTCCTCGAAAAAATTACACAAAGGATTAAGCATGATTTAATTCGCAATAATAAATGAAGGCGTTATTTTTGTGTTGCGAAGCTTAGTCTCTCCAGATTGGCAACAAATCTACAATTCTGCTGTTTCAAATGTAAACAAATCTGCCCGCCATGTTATTTAAAACTCAACCGCACTTAAACAGCTTTTAAATTGTTGATAATTGTACAAATATTGCTTCCAGAATTACGAAAGGCATAAAAACTTTAACTGGAAGATAAAAACTACATAATTCAATCATTTTTAAAGCAAAAAATGTACAATTTACAAACATATGAGAGTAAAGAATCTGAGATCACTGAGCCGGGTAACAGAGTGGATATATTTATAAATATATTTATATACGTTTGGCGTGGCCGATTGAAACCAAAATACGAGGTGCACATCTACATGTTATAGCAGTCTTATATACAAAATTTCAACGTTCTGAGGATACTCGTTTTTGAGTTATGCGAGATACGTTCGTACAGACGCCACGAAAAATTCTCTGCAGAATTCATTTTAAAGCAGGTTTTTATTTATTTATTTATTTTTTTTGGAGGAAAAGAGTCTTATTCTGTCCTTAAGTATAGATATCACGCAAAAATATCGTTAAATCGCATTCGAAAGCGGTCAAGGTGGATATTTTCGTTGAAATATGCTGCCTGAAGCTTTTCGCGATTACAGTACTTCCTTTTTACTTCGTACAAGTAAGTAAAAACTCATGTCTTTCTATAGAAATTTTAATTGACGTTTATAAGTAATACTATACAGAAATTCTGCTTTATAAAATTCTTCAGAACTTTAATAAAGCTTTTACAGAGCGGATATAGTTAAACGGTGACTGAAAACAAAGGTCTGATAACTGTTTTCAGATATTTTACTTGTGGGAATATTTTCAGTAACGTAAACTACCTTCAGCGAAGTTTGTTTCACTGCAGCATACATATTACTGCCAGAACAGGACATTTACAGGCGCTGTTGTTCAGAAAGAACGAAGGATGTTCAATTAAAAATTATTTTGTGGGGGAAGGTTGTATAAATTTGCAAGAATTAATCTGTAAACAGTGACATTCTTGATATTCCTTACTATTATGGAATTCTTAGGCATTTTTAAAAGTTTTAAAAATAATAGTTACATTTATGTGTTTGTTTACCTGTTTATCTATATCTGTGTCAATCGATATTTGTATCAATCTATATCTGTATTTTTTATATATCTCTATTTAATAAATATGTACTAGCTGAAGTATATAGCGAGTTGCCCGTGCCTTATGCTGAGTGATTTCAAATAAGGTGATGGGAGTAGTTTTTTCGAAATCTTAGGTAGGTGATGATTTTCTTCATATTTCGATTCAAGATGAACGGTGCAAAATTTTAGCAAACTCGAATAACACTGCAGAAAAATGTAAAACTAAGCAGGTAACGGTTTTAGTAAAAACTGATCCTTGCTGTGGTTTTGGTGACCTGTTTATGTCTTCGTAAGGAAAATGAACAGCGTCCTTCGACAGATTTCATCTTCGTTTTCGGAATATTCACCATAAAATGATAGAGCGCCCTAAAATTCTGCTTTAAAAGTTCTTGACTGGTCTGGAGAGTTCTGCATTGTTTTAAAAGCAAAAGAACAGTGCGCCATCTAAAGCTTTCAGTAAGAACTGACACCGGAAACTGAATGACGCCGACTATGTCGACCTAAAATGGCTTACACGATTTCAAAATTGAAGCTGGGCAAAAATATTAATATTTACATTTTTTCTAAAAGAAATTATAAATTTCTTCAGTTAATCTTCGGATTATGGTAACTTGGCGATTTTTTGGCGAAATTTTGGCGACCAACACTGTTACTACAACCTTCTAGTTTTTTTTTTTTTTTTTTTTCCACGCCATTTTGTTTTTACGAAGTAAAGGCTCTTTTTCTTTTTTCTTTTTTTTTTTAACTCAACATTTTTTCCAACAATCTGCTAGCCGAATTACGCTTATGCTAGAACTTTTATGGAACAAAAATGCTTAATCATGACGAAGATTAGGTGCGAAATTGGGAGAAAGTGCAGAATCGCCCACTGCTTGCCGCGCTTTTAAGAATTGCACATACACGGTATCATCCATGTACACGTCGACCTATTTTCACTTAAAAGAACATCCCAGAATTGCACAAAAATGGCATTGCGGACACTCTTGACTTTATCCATGTACACTGCTAAAGTCCTAGCTAGTAACCTTTATCGCCTTACCAAAATATCGCCAAACTACCTGTTACCATATTCCAAAGATTAGCCATTTCTTCTTTTCTATTTTTATGTAATTTCCTCTGATAGCAGAAATGCAATGGATATTTAACGTGAGCGCAAGGTTTTAATATAAACACCCCGAATGTATACCCAGCAGGTTGGGGCTTCGAAACGTATACAGATAAAGACCTTTCTCTTGTTCTGAAGGTCAAGTTATAAGGCATTTCTCCCCCATCTCCTTAGCATGCCTTCGTAGTGCAGTAGTCAGCACACTCGACTCGAATTCGAGAGGTCCTTGGTTCGAGTCCCGGTGAAGACATTGCTCATTTTTCATGACTCTTGCTTCTTAAAAAATACCTAATGTCTCTACAAGGTATACAAACTTTCATCAAGATCGGAATAAAACTATGTATGTGTAGAAATACGAACAGAGAAAGGAACATAAAACAAACAAATGGACAGGCATTTTTACATAGAGAAGTAAACAATAATTATATACCATTAAAGAATTATAAATTATATCTGTGAAATGCTCTCATGAAACGAGAACAAGCGTTTTTTGACAATCTCATTTCAACCTGTATAAATACTTAAGCGAAGAGAATCTTTGTAAGTGACAGAGATGACAAGAACATACAGTATCCGTACTTCAGCGTCTATAAAGGGCTCTTAGGGGACGAAACTGAAGTGGCACTTTTCTCGATGATGCGGATAAAAAATGATGCCATACAAACTTCTCGTCATCGAAAAAAATGTCACATAAAGAAAATATTCAGCTTAATGCATTCGATTGTATAAAGCTTCACTGTGTTATTCTTTATCATTAAGAATATCAAAAATAATTTTAATTTTATATCATATTTCGGTTAATCTTCGGATTATGGTAACTTGGCGATTTTTTGGCGACCAACCCTGCTACAGCAACCTGTTAGTTTTGTTTTGGACGCCATTTTGTTTTCACGAAGTAAAGGGCTTTTTTTTTTTTTTTACTCAACATTTTTTCCAACAATCTGCTAGCCGAATCACGCTTATACTAGAACTCTTATGGAACAAAAATGCTTAATCATGACGAAGATTAGCTGCGAAATTGGGAGAAAGTGCACAATCGCCCACTGCTTGCCGCGTTTTTCAGAATTGCACACACAGTATCATCCATGTACACGTCGACCTATTTTAACTTGAAAAAAATCCCAGAATTGCACAAAAATGGTTTTGCGCACACTCTTGACTTTATTCATGTACACTGCTAAAGTCCTAGCTAGTAACCTTTATCGCCTTACCAAAATGTCGACAAACTACCTGTTACCATATTCCAAAGATTAGCCCATATTTCTCTCAACCACCACCCGCTTTCTAGAGCCAAGTTCATAAAATTTTTAAAACCATTTTCCCCTTTCTCAATTTGGCTAATGTCTTCAGACAACAAGCTTCCCTGAATTTTAAAAGCCTCTCCGTCCGCTTAGTTATTGTACTGGTCTTACTCACGAAAACGAACCCTCCCAAACTACCTGAGAAATTCACGTCAAAAATCTACATTCTAACTGTGGAATTTTATGACATCAACGCATCACAGCAAAACAAACGCGAACTGACACTGTCTACGATTTCGCTTACTTGGCTCACCATTCACGTTCTCAATTATTTGTGGATTTGAAAGTGGTGGTGATTTGTGAGCACAAAGTGCGTGCATCTGTTTTAATTTAGTTCAAATAAAAAGGCCATTTAAACCTTTCATCTACCAGTGTTTCAACTACCAGTGTTCAACGACGTTACCGCTCGGCCGCTGGTGGGCAGAGAGAGAGAGAGAAGGTGTTATAGGAAGGAAGCCGCTTGCCACTGTAGTTTTACGAGTTTTCACTCTGTTGCTGGTTTCCTTTAAGGCCAGAGGTTTAGCCCTCTTGATATTTGCAGACGTATCGTAGTTTTAGCAGCTCGGCGTAATACATACGTACCTTTTTTAAATAAAGGCCAGTCTTAGTGCTAGGCATTTGTGTACTAATTCGAAGTTAGCTTTTAGTTAGAGTTTTAGTTAGTAGTTTTTTATATTCTTACGTTTAGACCACAAGTGGTTGGTCTCTGTATTCCGAAGTCCGGAAATACCTGTAAAGTATTGAAAATAAAGGGTTTCGTATACCCTTCCTGCTTGTGTTGTCTACTTCACACCTTCTTGAACATAGCTTGAGTAAGCTCCCTGTTCGTATTCAGGACCATTCATGTTTACAACGCAAATCAAGAGAAACACAAGTCCTGACAATGTGAAAGCCCTGATTTTTAACCGTAAGCGGTGGAGTTCTTCGAAAGCTTACGTAGATAGGGACCTTCCGTTTTTTGAGCGACAAATGCGCAAACCTTCATTAGGCTGGGAACAAAATTGTAGACTTGTATCATTTATACATCAAAGGAGCACTGTTCTTTATATAGATGGATACACAAGGAGGAATAAGTATGACTAAGTTATCATTTTGAATAAAATATTATATATATGTAATGTTTATTTAAATTAGTTGCGGGATGTCACGTAGTGGACATATCAGATTTTTTTCAATTTAACTGACACAACAATTCCGATGAATACTGTGAAAGAACTTGAACGGATTTTCAAATAAGTAATTTTAGTGGATACAAATCTAAGAATTGTAGAAAGAAGCGAGTGAATTTTCTGTAACGAAGAAATCGGAAAGAAGGCAGATTTTAGGAAACTTCATATAAGAGAATCGACCTCTGTACTCTTTATTTCACTTAAAGGATACTTCCCTTAAGGCTAATACTTTTTCAGCGGAATAGGTTTTAAATTTATTTTTACGATATTTTAAAATTGAAAATAAACCACCTTTTTACATTATTAAATTGAAATCACGACGATCATTTTGAATAAACCGTGTATGCGATCTTAAGATGTAATGTTTATCATTGTGATTACCCTTCACCTCGACTTTGAATTCATCACGCGACTTTGAAATTTATAAATTAGATAAACACCAAAATTGTTGCATAAACACCAAAATTAGCGAAATATTTATTTAATTTATTTATACTTCCAGGAAAGCGGCCAGTTTAGAATTTCATTGCCTGTCGGAGATAATTATTTTAAAACTTCGAATTAATATTCCTCTCTTTAAATAAGTTATGCAAATGTCCCTGGTGTATTTTCCATAATTCATTAATCCGATCGCGTCTACAAAGTAACAACGTCCTTACTTTAAAGATCTGAGACTAAATTTACAGGAAATCACTGCAATTTAGGCCGAGTTGTGCTGCACATTAGGATTTCTAAAGTCTGATATACATACATGAATTCCTTGTACGGATTATTGAATTATGCATTTTTTCCTTTATTTCATTTAAACTTATTTCCTCGAATTTCATTAGAGACATATTTCTCATTAAATTAATTCAGTTCTAGCTTCGCGGCAAGGCAAAAATACATAAAAACTCAAAATATTTTCATTAAAAATTGAAAGATATAGAAAAACATAACACACTAAATACAGTTAAAACAACTAAGTCACTAACTTAAGTGTCAAATCTACTCAAATGTCACTCTTAAGCCGGCCTAATATTTTAACGGCGCGTTTTTAACGTCTGCTAGCGAAATGGCTGAAACCGGAATATTATCCGGCAGAGCTGGCGACGCAACATACATTGCAGATGAGGCTCTTAAGAACTCTCAACTTTAATACTAAAACAACCAATTTACATTTTGCGAGATCACTCTGGAAAGGGGAAGGTTTAAATAATAATGATTCGTTTATTACTGATTAAACATAATCATGGATTAACAAAATTCTTACAGTATGATCAATCCGCGTTTTATTGGTCATGATATTATCGTTTGGTATGATGAATTATTACCATTCAGTAACCTGTGGCAGTTTACTTCATCTTCATCGAACGTTTTTGCCTAATTCTTAAATGATCGCCTTTTTAGGTTTTCTAAACTGAGCAAAATATTTCTCCTTCCAAAAGTTTTGTTCTGGTGGATTTTTACGTTCCGCCAATCTTCAGACGTAAATGAGGAAGATAACGGTTTCTGTCTAAAAATTTAATAGCGAGTTTTAAGTGAATACGTGAGGATACCTGCAATACGTTTTGACTATTTTTACATTATTGTACATCTATCTGTGAGTAATGAGTGTTTTTTCATCCACGATAACTCTCATATCAAACTTGAAAAATTCCCTTTTTAAGCTTGTGATGTTGCGTGGCCCCAACTTGCCCGCAACAATAGTAGTGACTGCTATGAACAGGAATTACACAAACTCTTGAGAAGGGTTTAACTCCCTTTTTATTCCACTTTAAAAGTTACAGATGCGTTCACTTGACGCTCACAAACTACGCCGACCCGGCGGTTAACTAAAAATCGAAAAGTACAACTAAAAAATGAATAAATAACAAGTCACTACCTACGAGGCTCTAAAAACGTGACTAACTTAACCGCGTTCTAAGATAAAGCTGAGATTTCAGCAAACTTTCCGAATAAGAAGTTGAAAGATTCAACTCACTGCCGAAGTAGGCTCACAGGCCGAAAGGCGCGGTTCTTAAATTTCTACCTAGCAACCTTCACGCTCGTGAAGCAAGAAAGCACACCTACAAACTCGTTTCCCTTCTATTTAACTCATATTACTTCTGCTTAAAATTTGAATACTTTGCGCGTTCTACTAAAATTTACATACTCTGGCATTGGCAATTCCAGGGGAAGTAAGGCTTTAACAGAAAAGATAGTTTAAACTTAAAATAAATGTTAGTTAAAATAAATATAAACCCTACAAGCTTTCTGAAAGAATTGATTAGATTGAGTGAAAATGGACAAACGGAAGTAGTAAATCGCTCGAAGCTTATAATGGTTTTGTAATGGGCAGCTGGAAGTGGTACTTTATCTGAAATCTATAATAGTTTTTTATGGAAAACTATACTAAAATAGAATCCTAACTTTCTAAGCTTAGTATTTAAGACATTTTTAGCCATAGAAACGACAAATAAATTTTGGCTAAAATAGATAACTCCAAATCAGGCAAGCTTTCGCTTGGCGTAGATTTAATTGAAATCTAACAATTTCGAAGGAGGACTGTTACAGTCAATATCTGCCCCAGGAAAACGAAATGGTTCAACCAGTCTCTTAACCCTCCAGTTCAAGAGAACCAGTCTGTTCCCTCTTAACCCTTTCCGGCACGCTACCTTTTAAAGTCGGAGATGTGATAAAAAAAAATCTGATGTGTACACCACATGACTTCCTTGTACGGAATATTAAATTATACGCATTTTTTCTTGCATTTAATTTAAACTTATTAGATTTAATTAAACCTATTCGCCGACACCGCA